AGAGAGAGAGAGAGAGAGAGAGAGAGAGAGGGAGGGAGGAAGAGAGAGAGAGAGAGAGAGAGAGCTTTATATGCCACATTTCAGCAGATGCGAACAAAGTAGAAGATGATGAGGGAAACATAAAGGAACATGGCTGCGTTAGCTACTATTACGCGTTTTGCATTGGGCGCGCTCCAGCTATCTATATTTCTTTACTTCACAGGTAGAGGAAGCGCACTGCAAGGGAGTTTTTGGTGCCTGGTATTTTTGTTTTGTTTTGCGAACTGTGGCAACCGCACAAAACAGCAGAGCGGCAAATTCACCACATCCGTCCTTTATTATTGTTGTTCTGGATGTGTGTTACTCCGCTTGTTGTCCCCCCGTTTCTCTTCCGTTGTTTCCAACCGTGCTTCCTTCTATATTTTGCCGCGTTGGGTGTCCTCTTCTGTTTCTATTCGTTGCTCTTTATTGGTTCCCGCTTCTTGAAACGCGCAGCTTCTTCCCGTCCCGTCGCTTTCATCCTAAAATTCGACCTGACACGGCACACGTGTCCGTGCTCGCGTATGGGTGGAGTTGAGGGCTTTTCTCTTTTCTCACTCTCCCTCTCCCTCTCCCTCCCCCTCCCCCTCCCCTCTCAGACAATAACAAACTTACGCACACTTTATATATTTATAAATTTGTCTTTTGTGATTACCTACCCTCCCTTTTCTCTATTATTCCCCAACCGGTCTGCGAGCCCTCGCGTTGGTTATTGTTTCTATCCCCGTCCTCGCCTCCTCACGCTGCCAAGTCGCACACGCACACGAAAATTGGCAAAAACGCCAGGGATGTAACCTGTACGGACGCTCCTATGCGCACTCTTTCTCTCTCTCTCTCTCTCTCTCTCTTATTTTTTAGTCTTTTTCTGTGTGCCGCTTTGCCCTTGCTTAGCTGGCGGGCGCGGGTGTGGAAGTGGCGGTGGTGAGGCATTCCTGTGCCTCACTCCGTGCACGTGATTTTCTTCTGGGGCAGACAAGGGGCGGGGCGCGACGATGGATCCAGAGAAGTTGCGCAAGGCGCAACAGGCGTCCCGAGATGCTTATCTCCGCAAGCAGGCACTCAAGCGGGAGAAGGCCGCTTCCGCGGTGTTGCAGGAGAAAATATCAGAGATCGAGGCGGGGGTTCTGCCGCACTCTCTTACGGAGATTGAGCTGCTGAGTAAGCGCGCCCGGGAGGTACAGGCGGCTGGCCAGCTGCAGCAGACAGCTGAGCTACGACAGGGAATTCTAGAGGAGGATGCTGTACTAGCCTCACATGCCTTGAAGCGCGACAGGGATGCGGTGCTGCCGCCACTCAATCAGGCTGAATTGCAGCCACAAAACGGTTCCGTGGGCCACCACGGGGAGTCTCACAAGTTTGTGGCGATGGACGAGTCCGTCGTCGATGCTCGTATCAGGAACCGTGATTTTGTCGAAGAAAAGACGGAGGAACAGATTCAGCAAGAGCGTACTGAGGCGCTACAAGATAGGCATCACCGGCTCCAAGAACAGCGACGAACTTTGCCTATATATCACGCACGTGACGAAATTATTGAGCTAATTCGCAAGAACTCTGTGCTGATCATTGTGGGAGAAACAGGGTCGGGTAAGACCACGCAGCTGCTGCAATACCTATATGAAGAAAATTTTTGCGACACCCTTTCGTGTCCAACTGAAAGAAATGGCGATGTTGGGAAAGGGGAGAAGGCGGAAAGCGTGGGTGAGGAGAGGCGACTTATTTGTACTCAACCCAGACGTATTGCGGCAATCAGCGTGGCGGAGCGAGTGGCCCAAGAGATGAATACGCGCTGTGGGAGTATTGTTGGGTACAAGGTACGTTTTGATGATAGATCGGGGCCTTTGACGCGACTTCTCTTTGTGACGGATGGCATGATGCTGAAGGAACTCGTTGGAGACCCGGAGCTCCTCACTGTCAGTGCCATCATGGTGGACGAAGCCCATGAACGTTCACTTAATACGGATATTCTGCTTGGTTTACTGAAGGACATATCCCGCAGGAACAAGCAGTTGAAGGTGATTGTTGCCAGTGCCACGATCAATGCCGACAAGTTTAGCAGCTTCTTTGATGGAGCTCCCATCTTTACTGTAAAGGGACGCACATTCCCTGTCGATGTGTCGTACCTTACAGAGCCGATGGCCGACTACGTGAAGGCTAGCGCCGAGTCTGTGCTCTTGTTGCATGCCACCAAGCCCTTACCAGGGGACATCCTCGTCTTTCTTCCCGGGCAAGACGACATTGAAAGCTGCGCCGCCGCGATTCGTGAAGGTATTACCAACTCTGGCGGCCAACTGCGGCCGCTGATGGTCCTACCAATCTACTCCTCTCTTCCGCCACGAGAGCAGAGGCGCATTTACGAGGTTCCTCCACCAAACACACGGAAGGTTGTGGTTGCCACAAACATTGCTGAGACATCCATCACCATCGATGGTGTGGTGTACGTCGTTGATTGCGGTCTTTGCAAGCAAAACTACTACAATTATAAGGCCATGGTGGAGGAGTTGCGTGTGCTGCCAATATCGCAGGCTAGTGCCATGCAGCGAACAGGTCGAGCAGGACGAACGCAAAAAGGGGAGTGCTACCGTTTGTACACAGCCTACACATTTCGTAATGAGCTTCCACAAGAAACAGCTCCAGAAATTTTGCGAAGTTGTATGAGTTCTGTTGTTTTACAACTAAAGGCGCTTGGAATTGATAATTTGTTACAGTTTGAGTTCATTGATGCCCCCTCTACCGCCTCCTTGGAACGGGCGTTAGATCACCTTTACCTGCTTGGTGGGATGAAGCCAGATGGTCGGTTAACGCTTAGCGGACGCCGCATGGCGGAATTTCCACTGGACCCCTCGTTGAGCAAGTGTATTCTTCGTGCAAACTCCTTGGGGTGTCTTCGTCACGTGTGCATTGCTGTGGCGATGCTCACGCTTGACTCCGTTTTTGTGGCAAGCCGAGATGCAAAGGAACGGGCCTCCATGGCGAGTGCGAGAGATGTGCTCTTTTCAGCGGGCAACGGTGATGTCATGGGGTATGTGCGGTTAATGGAAGAGTGGATGCGTGCCGGCCCTTCGATGCAGGAGTTCTGTCAATCCAATTCAATAAACGTGAAAAGCCTTCTTCAGGCCCGCGATGTGCTGGATCAGATACTGAAGACATGTGAACGCATTGGCTTTGATTTGCCTCGTGGGGAGGAGGACACCCCACTCTCTATGGAACCCTTCACAAAGGCATTATTGTCGGGTTTTTTCATGAATGTTGCGAAGCTGAATGTTGACCGCAGGACCTACATGATTGTACGCCCGATAGACGCCTCTAGTAGTCGCACTGGCTCCAACCTTACAACTCTCAGCGCAGTGAACGCTGAGGAAACGGTAATGGCTGAACTGCATCCGTCGAGTTACCTCTTCCGGGCGGGACTCGCCCAGCAGGAGGAGGCGAAGAACAGCAACGCTGGCGTGGCCCCAACGGCTGTGATTCTAAGGGAGAGACCGCAGCTTGTAGTTTTACGCAGCTGCGGTATACGAGTAAACGGTACATGATGCACGTTACGGCTATTTCTTCGGTAGACTGGGTTCTGACGACGGCCCCTGTAAATTATTTTACGAAGGAGGAGTTGGAAACAAAATTGCGCAAGCGTGCACACGATTAATTGCCGAGGTTATGCCAAAAGGTAAGAAGAAAAGGATCCGAGAAAGGGAGGGCGAAGGCTCATTTCTGAATGCGTGTTTTTTTTTTCTGAGGTGTTGTTTGCTCTGTTATTGAGTTGTCATCTACCTCTGCTTATTTGTTTATGATTATGACTATTAGTAGTGGTAGTACATTCCAATGGCCGTTGTTGTTGACATTTCACTTTTCCCTTGTTCTTGTTCTTGTTTTTTGTATTGCCGTTGCTTTACTGATGTAGGCGGTTTTGGACGGGCGAAAGGGGTAACCTCTTTGCTTTGGGTGGAGTGGGCGGTGGGAGAGCTGCCGTCGCTGTGCCAGTGGTGGCGGGCCTGGAGGCGGCGATGCTTCGGCGCTCCATGCGGCGGCGCATGATGCACCTGCACCCATCCCCTACACCGAACCCGCTCTGCCTCACCTTCCACATTCCCTCCTCGACGTACGAGAGTTTTATCCCAAACGGTCAGACCTGCGAGGTGGCGCACCGTGGGCTGGGCTGGGTGCACCCCCTAAGCTCTGGAATCTTTGAACAATACGGGCAAGAAGTGGCGAGTGTGTTCATTGCACCACGGCAGGTTTCCATCACGGTTTATCCAACTGTGGAATGGTCGAAGCTGGAGTGGAGCTTAAGCTCCTTCATTGGCCACTACTTGGTGTTCGTCAACGAATGCGTGCCCGCCGCAAAAGAGTACACGCTCTTGGAGGACGATCTTGAGATTCGTGAGGGCGATTCAGAGGTGCTACAGTGCATCAAGGAGCTCTTGCGGGAACAGGTTCGCCCCATGCTGCAGCAGGACGGCGGCGATGTGAAGCTGTTGAATTATAATGAGAAAACCGGGGTTGTCTCACTCGCCATGCTTGGGGCCTGCCGCAACTGCCCCTCCTCCGGCGATACTCTCAAGGACGGCATTGAGCGAGTCATGAAGCATTTTCTGCCTGAGGTGACGGAGGTGGTGGAGGACAAGGGCCATGCGTTCTACGAGGAGTATGAATTGCTGTTTCCTTCCGAGCAGGCGCTTCGACAGGAGGCGGCTCGACTAGACGCGGAGCGCCGCCGGAGGATTCCCACGAAGTCGACGGCATCGCTAATGTCGTTTGACGCCCTTCACGAGCCGGACGGCGACGAGTGAGTGAGTGAGTGAGTGGGGGTGGCGACCCGCTCGCCCGCTCGCGTTTCCTCCGTCCGTGACCGCCTGTCTAGTGGCGGGCGATGACATGACTTTATACTTCTTGTTACTGTTGCTTTTTTTTTTCTTGCAAGAGGAAAAAGAAAGCAAAACAAAAACAACAACAGAACGAAGCAGTGCCGCTTTACCTCTTCCAATGCAACGCCGTTGGGTGTCTTTATGCGTGTGTATATCTATATTATTGGTTTGCCTCTGCATTGCCGTGTGCTCTCCCCGTTTTCCCTCTCTCTCGCTCCCTCTCCTTCTCTCTCTCTCTCTCACTCACATACACGCACGCACGGCATCCACAGGTATTGTGGTGGTCATCTTTTGGGCCTCGAACACAGTAAGCAGCCACCCATGACTCTGCGTACACGTTTTGAGAGCTCAGACGACGTTGGCGTGTTTGCCCGCTTGACAAACGCCTACTGCCTTGTAACTGCTGGGGCCTCACAGAACTTCTACTCCGTCTTTGAGCAGGAGTTGGCAAATCACATCCCTGTGGTGTATACTTCCATTGGTGGATCGCGCGTAGTCGGGCGCCTCTCCTGCGGCAACCGCCACGGGCTTGTGGTGCCCTCGATCACCACCGACCAGGAGCTGCAGCACCTGCGCAACTCCCTCCCGGACTCTGTGAAAGTGCAGCGTGTAGAGGAACGGCTCAGTGCGCTTGGTAATTGTGTCGTATGCAACGACCACGTGGCACTGATCCACACAGACCTGAGTCGGGAGACCGAGGAAATTTTGCGTGACACTCTGCAGGTACAGACCTTCCGCACCTCCATCGCTGAGAACGCTCTAGTCGGTAGCTACGCCGTGGTCAACAACAAGGGTTGCATGGTGCACCCCAAGACCCCGGCGCAGGATATGGACGAGATTGCGTCTCTTCTGCAGGTTCCTGTAGTGGCCGGTACAATCAATCGGGGCAATGCTGCCATTGGCTCCGGCCTCGTTGTGAACGACTGGGCGGCTTTCTGCGGGTTGAACACAACCGCAACAGAAATCACCGTAGTTGAGCGCATCTTTCAGCTTCGTAGGGATCTCGGCGGGGATGAGCCAAACTTGCTGCAGCAGTTGCGCGACACCCTAGTGGATGAGTTGGCGTAATAACGGGAGTAAAAAAAGTGAGGGAGGCAATGATCTGGAATAGTGGAGAACAAAAAACAGATGAAGGCGCACCCGACCACCACTAATAAGAAACTAACTATTTTCATGCTTTGGGTTGTGCTGTGGTGTATGCGTCTGCGCCTCACCCGGATAACCTGCGGGGAGTTCAGCTAATGAGGTGTGAAGCGACGAAGGTGAAGAAAGGAACGTAGAAAGAAAAGGAAATATATAAAGAGGAGTTATTCCTTCACGGTTGGGTTTGAAAACGTTAAGTGACGGGCTCCCGCAGCTGCTCGTTCGCTGCCGCTCCTTTGCCTCCTTGGGCGCGCGGTGAAGTTCCGTGTCTTGCCTGCATTCGCGCCTGCCAACATATTTTCTTTTTTCCTTCTCTCTCTGTCGCCCTCTCCTCCTTTCTGAGTAGCCGTGCACGCGTACCCACAGATACACACACAAAAGGGGGATAAAAAAAAAAACAAAGAAGAAGTGGGACAAAAAAAGGTGGCGGCCGGGGGGAGACGACTGCATCGCTGTGATTGCAGAGCCAAACTCAGCTATATATCCTTCCTTGACCGTTTGTGTGCGTGTGTGTGGTAGCTTCACGTGCAATTTACGTGGTGGTCGGCAAAGCGAGCAGCCCCCAAGAGAAGAAACGTTGGACTTGCGCGGACCGCTTGCCCGCGCAAGTCCTTCAAGGTACGAGAGAAGAAAGAAGGAAAGGTGACTGCTGCAGTGCCTAACATCGCTTCATTAATCTCTTTTTTTCATATACAGCTGCATACGGGTAGACAAAATAGGCACGCAGCAGTACGGATCAACTTACTATCATTTATTTTTGCACAACACTGCTTTCTTCACTGGTGAGGCGTACCCGAGGCAATGACGCAGCGGTTTGGGCCCTACCACGTTGGTGAGACGATTGGTCGTGGCACATTTGCCAAAGTCAAGCTAGCCGTTCATGAGCCCACTGGCACGCAGGTGGCATTAAAAATCATCCCTCGAAAGGTCATGGAGCAGGACGCACGTTCCAATGTAAAGATTACGCGGGAAATCAAGATTCTCCAGGTCCTTCGACATCCAAATATTGTGCGGCTTTACGACGTGGTGCAAACCACGCATGATATTGTGCTCGTCTTGGAATACGTCTCCGGTGGAGAACTGTTTGACTACATTTGTGGCAAAGGACGTTTGACGGAGGAGGTTGCGCGTTCTATTTTCCAGCAGATTGTGGCTGGGGTAGCGTACTGTCATCGGTACCAAGTGGCCCATCGTGATCTAAAACCGGAGAACATCATGATGGAGCAGGGCTCGACGCGCATAAAACTTGGTGATTTTGGTCTATCGTCTGTCGTGCGAGACGGCTGCTTCTTTGAGACAAGCTGTGGAACGCCGAACTACGCCTCCCCAGAGGTGGTGAGTGGGAGGCCGTACGCGGGGCCAGAGACGGATGTGTGGAGCTGTGGCGTGGTTCTCTACACCATGGTGGTAGGGGCCCTCCCGTTTGATGACAGCAACGTAGGGAATCTCTTTAAAAAGATACAGACAGCCAATTATAAAATACCGGACGCACTCTCAGACGAAGTCAAGGACCTTTTGAGGCGCATGTTGGTAGTCAACCCTTTGGAACGTGCCACCATGGAGCAAGTCATGCGTCACCCGTGGGTTATACCCGCTTTTCCGCCCCACCTCCTTGCCCTTCACTACGAAACTATCCTTGAGCACCTGAAATTTGGGAAGTTGGTTCTAACAAGTGAACAGGAATTGGATGAAAGAGTTATAGAAGATGTTGCCGTGCGTTTTCATATGTCCCTCCCTGAGGTGGCAGCTATTATCGCCGCACAGGAAAAGCAAAAGTCCCCTTTGTTTAGTGTCAATTCAGCCGTATACGCAAAAGGAGGGGCACAAAAAACTTATCCCGCCTCGGCGTTTTTTGAAAAGTCTGCAAATGTGATAGATGCAAAAATATGGCCAACACCTCTCATTATACAGCCTGCGGAGCGAGCGCTGCGGGACAAGGAGCATGATCTTCATGTGTCCTACCATATCTTGTTGCACAACAAGCAGGATCGTATCTCGTTAGAGAATTTGTCCAACGCTGAGGCGGGCTGCGATGCAGCCAACTCGCTCATGTTAACACTTTCCACAAGTCATGGATACGGTTCACTCAATGCGAATTCGTTACACCAGGTACCTCTGGGAATGAGTAATGCGTCTTGGAGTTTACACCGGGCAAACCACAAGGGAGTTGAGCAAACTATCCGCATCAACAAGGAGTGTGGGATTACTTTTTGCGGTTCCCTACCTGCCTACGTGCAGCCAGATCAGCTGTTAAAGGGCGACGTTGATGTTTACATGGAGGGTTACAATCATGTTGCAGAAGCCCTTATTCTGCTGGCTTGTCCCCGCTCCAGGCACACTATCTTGGGAAAGTTGCTGGGGGTAGTTGAACGCCCCATGGTGGCGACAAAACCAGCTCGATCGCTTTCAGAAGCGCCCGTCAGAAAACCAAGTGGTGGTGGAGCTCTCCTCCGGCCTCTGCTTAAGCCAATGACTGGAAAAGATGCTCAGAATTCTGCGTCCATGCCGTCTGAGAGAGTGCTCCTTCGACCCACTTCCGCCGCTAAAAAAGGAAAGGGCAAAAGAAGTGACGAGGACGAATTGCGCTCGTCTAAATGTGGGAGTGGCATTGGGTTTTCACCGTCGCTGGCGCCCGATGTGCTCCAGTGTGATACAGTGACACGTTTTGGCAATGACTTTATGCGGAACGGCGTGCTGTTCTCCAACATTGACAGTCCAACAACGCTAAAGCACGTTTACGATGCTATGGAGGAAGAGGGATTCTTATGGAAGGGCATTCGCCCATTCGCCTTTGCCGCTGTGGTTCACCCCTCTGTGAAGCTGCAGATACGGATCTACAAGGTGACTGCCGAGGAGCAGATTGTCGATGTAAAAGTGTCCTCCCAAAGTGGCATGCATGCATGCGATAGGGCTGTGAAACTTTTGGAGCGGCTGCGGCGGAAATCAGTTGCACACACAGAGAAAAAGTTGAAGCAGAGCCTGGCCATGCGTGAAGAGCATCGTGAGTCTGCTACTGAAACTGCAACATGACGAGGTCGCTCCCACGCCGAAGAAAAAGGGGTGGCACATAGCTTTTGCCCTTGCCGCAGCAACACTGGGCATCAATTTGGTACGACTTTTCTCTACCTCTTGAAGGTTTCCCTTTTCCTCTCCAAGTGAAAAACAATGGGACAAGCAAACGACGAGAATGACGAAAACGGCACACACACACACACACACATATATATATATATATAAACAAAAAAGACGATACAAACATAACATGACGCAAACGGAAAAAAAAAAGACATGCTATTGGAAGTGAGGGGGTGGGGGGGGGGTGAGTTCTGACACTCCGGCTTGAAATTAGATGTCTTGGGCGGTGGATGGGTCGTTGGGGGAATATGCCGCCGCCTATTTGCTTTTCTGCCTCCGCGTGCTCGAGTGTGTGGAGAGGTTGGTGGAAATTGGGGCGGATAATGCTTGTTAAAATAAAAAAGGCGAGCTATCACACAGAAACAAACGGGGAAGAAAAGATGGGGTTTGAAAAAGCGGCCTGTGGTGTTTGAGCCAAAGCTAAAATTCAGTGGGTGGGAGGATACGCAATACTACGGAAGTGAGTGAAGTGAAAGCTTGATTTGATCCATGACAAGGTGGCTCTTTGCTCGCGGTTCTCCCTATGGCGTCGCTTAGCATGGTACTTGGGTCGACCTCTTTGGCTTTTGGCTTTTGACGTGTATTGTAACCACCTGTGCATGAGAGTTGCAAACGGTGCGCCCTAATTTGCTTTGAGGGGGAATTCGTCTGGCGGACTCCGTCTCGCCTCGTTTTCTCTTCTTTGAGCTCCATCGCCGTTTCTCTACCGGCGCGAAACGAAAAGCAGGAACGGCTTTGTTTGACCTATCAATTCTACCACCGGCATCTTCCCCCCTCCCCCCTCTACATGTATGTGTATACGTTTGC